AGGTGCACCTGTAGTTCCAGCTACTTGGAAGGCTGAGGCAGAAGGATCGCTGGAGCCCAGCAGGTGAGCCTGCAGTGGCCGGGAGTGGCCACTGCACTCCAGTCTGAGCGACAGAGTGAGACTCCAACTCAAAAAAAAAAAAAAAAGAACCAAATAAAAATATTGAAGGATACAATGCAAGATTAAAGAATATAATAATCAAACTGAAAATTCACTATAGAAGTTCAACAGCAGACTAGATCAAGCAGAAGAAAGAATTACCAAACTCAAAGACAGGACATGTGAAATTATTCAATCAGAAGAGCAAAAAGGAAAAAAAAGAATTAAAAAACATGAAGAGAACTTAATGGGAGACTATAGAGCAAACCAATATGTACACTATGGAAGTTCCAAAAGAGAAGAAAAAGAAAGGGCCAGAAAGACTGTTCAAAGAAAATAATGAAACTGCCTATATAAAACTAATATAGGCTTGTGGGATAAAAACTGTAGAAGAGACCTGTGCCCTGGAAAGGTGCAACTGTGGTTAGAAATGAACAAATATGTTATTTCTAAGTTTGCTTTCAATTCAGTAAACAGCAATTGATTATCTTCATGTCCTGACCCCTGAGAAAGTTGCCTGTATTGCTGACAATAATATTTTCCCTCAAATAATGAACACAAATCCCCTTGATGATATCCCAAGGTTTGATTGGTTGGAAGGGTACACGCAGCATTTATCTCCAGGGACCCCACCTCCCACAGACCTCAATAGTGGCTTACTGTCCAGGGGTCAGTAGCTGATGGTAGTGGGAATTGCTCTATAAATAGCCTCTCTATTATAAAACCTAAGAATGTTGTCTGGGATGTTTTTTAGTCTTTGCACTCTCATGGACCTGAGGACCTACTCAGGTCCAAAACACATACCAAAAATTTGACTCCACTGGTCCTGTGATTTCCCTCCCAGAAACCAGCAGTTTTGACACCCCATCATGACATTATCTTCAACCAATTAGCCGTCCCTAGCTCCCTGCCTACAAATCCTCTTTAAGCACCCTAGCCTCTGAATTATCAGGGAGGTGGTTTTGATAAATATCTCCTGTTTTTCTTGTTCAGCTGCTTTGTGATATTACACTCTTTCTTTACTATATCAGCTGCATTGATCTCAGTTTTTCTGGGCAGTGGGCCTAAGAAGCCAGTCAGGTTATAATAATAATGGCCAAAATCTTCTCAAATTTGGGGAAAGAAATGAATATCCAGATTCAGAAAGCCACTCAGCCTCAAATAAGATGAACCCAAACAAATCTACATCAAAACATATTATAATTAAATTACCAAAAGCAAAGACAGAATTTTCAAGGAAATTTTTTTAAAGCATCTTATAATGTACAAGGGAATCTTCATAAGACAATAAGCAACTTTTTCAGCAGAAACAATGCAGGGCAGAAGGAGGTAAAATGATATTTTTTAAGCACTGAAAGAAAAAAAACTGTCAACCAAAAATTCTATGCCCAGCAAACCTGTCCTTCAAAAATGAAGGAGAAATAAAGACTTTTCCAGACAAACAAAACCTGAGGGAGTTTATCACTAGACTTTTTTTACAAGCAAGTTATCCAAGTTGAAATGAAAGGATGCTAAACACTAAGACAAAAACATATGAAAATATAAAATTATCTGATAAAGGTAAATAAATATTTAGACAAATACAGAATGCTGTAATATTTTAATGGTGTTATGTAAATGACTTCATTTTAGTACAACAGCTAAAAAAAATTTTTTTTTTTTAAGTATAAAAATAAGCTGAGCTTGGTGGCTCAGTCTGTAATCCCGCGTTTGGGAGGCCAAGGTGAGTGGAATGCCTGAGCCCGCGGGTTCGAGACCCAACTGGGCCTCTTGGCAAGACCTCATCTCTACAATAAATCAAAAAAATTAGCCGGGCGTGGTAGCACACCTGTAGTTCCAGCTACTTGGAAGGCTGAGGCAGAAGGATCACCGGAGCCCAGCAGGTCAAGGCTGCG